TGACTTTCTTTAAAATTAAAAGAAGACTGCAAAGATGAGGATAACCTTAGAGTTTATAAATGAGACATATACCTGATACAAACTCAATGTTTTTACCATTCACTTTAGTGGAATGGTACTAAGTATGAAAAGACACCAAGCCAATCAACATGGTGAAATTTTCTATAAATTTTATATAATAACACTAATTAAATATTATGAAAAATTAAATATAAATAAATTGAATCGTATTCGTTAACTAATAATCAAGCTAGAAAATGGGGTAGGGTAGTACTATTTCTCTTTCAAAATTATCTGGTGAAAAAGTTGTCTTTTGAAAATGCCTAGCAGGTTGGTCAAATAATGAACACATAATGGACCAACCTTTTAGGCCGCACTATATTATTTACTACTTTATAGAATTAAACTAGTTTGAGTTGCCATTAACTTTAGGAATAGCGTGGCTTTCTTCTGACTCTACAGGAGGAAGCTGCTCAAGTTGAGATTCCTATGAATTACACACCAATCAAATTCCACCCTTTCTTTGATTAAAATTAAACTTTATTTTTTTTAACACTCTTTACCAAGTAATATCCGGAATTTGATTCTGTAAACACCCAATTAAAATGATATAGATGTATTATCATACTACATAATAGTTGACTCACATAAAAAATACTACATAATAGTTGAGAAATTAAACATTACTTAATATAATAGATATGACAATGAAACAATTCATGTCCAGATCAAATTTGAATTGAATAAGTTTCGTTGTGTGCTAATCGGGTTTGGAACAAGTTTGACTATTAAAAATATTTCTCAAATTAGGTTCGGATTTAGATTCATATAATGGGGTTATACAATCAACATAATCCGACCATATCACAATAATTGTTAATCTTGTATGCAAATTCCTAATTTTATCTAACCACAGTATAAATCAGTGATTTTACCTTATAACTATCTAACACGACTCATCCAGGGATGAAAATAGGTCAGATTGGGTCAAACTTTGACAAATTAGGCATGAGCCTATTATATGAACTTAAGGCAAGTTTTACTGTGGACCATGGTTCGAACCGGTGTCGTTATTTTTAATGATAAGAAAAGGCACATGTTTCATGTAATTAGTTCTGTCTGTATAACATATTCAGTTTCATTTTATATACATTATAGTTTCATTTCAGCATAATTAAAGTTCTATTTTGTTTCAACTACAGTTTCATTCGACATTATATATACAGTAGTCTTATTACAGTGACACCTGTATTGAATTTTATTTTAAACACACTGTAGTCTTATTATAACACCACTAAATTATAATTCTAATTCAATCGGTGATACTCATGGCATCACCAGTGGAGGTCCCCTAACTGACCCTGCACTCTGCTCTGTAATATTAAAGCGTGAAGCACCAATGCTTCACGTTGTCGAGTAGAGGGCAGGTTCCCTCGCAAGCTCGCTTTTAATATTAAAGAAGCTCTTGGGAGTTGTGGTGGGAATAGGTGATCGGCTGTGTATTAGAGGTGCATCCATGCTCTCAGTTAAGTGTAGCAAAAAGTGGAATGTTTTTTCTATTTTGTATGCCTTATATAATAACTTATCAATATCAATCTGGTCATGCTTAACGCATCACTAGGGATGGTCCCTTAACTGGGCCTCGCTCTCTTCTGTAATATTAAAGTGTGAAGCACCAATGCTTCACATCGTCGAGCGAAAGGCATGGTCCTTATATACATATGTGTATGTATGTGTGTGTGCGCGCATGGGTGCGTGTGTAGTTGAATAGACTTTAAGATAAACTTAAGTCTGACTTTTTTACTAAATAGACTAGGCCAAGCTAGGTCCAAACTAAACTAAGTTGTAAGTCTCTTGATAAGAGTTTGGCATATTTTTAACCCTAGTCTATGTTGGAATGATGCATGCTTAATAACTATCAGCTGAACATTGTTCTAGTTGAGAAAAGAAGAAGAGAGCCATTGGCATTTCATCTGATAGTGCATCAATAGTTCTTACAACTGGGAAAGTAAAGAAGCTTAGAATATAAAGAGGACAGTGGCAGTTATAACAGAATCAAAGAAAAGGAAAGACAAGAATGCCCTTGGCATATATTTGGTAGTCCATCACCCCCCCCCCCCCCCCCCTTAAGTTGGAGCATGAACATCGTGAAGGCCCAGCTTAGAATGGAAAGTATCAAACGCTGGTTTTGGTAAGGCCTTTGTGAATCCATCTGCAATCTGCTTCTGTGAAGGAATAGGCAACAATCTGATCAACCCTTCTTGCACCTTATGCCTGATAATGTGGCAGTTTAATTCTATATGTTTAGTGCGTTCATGGAAGACGTAATTTTCCCCTATAGCAATGGCAGACAAGTTATCACATAAAAGAGTTTTTGGCTTGTGAAAAATGATGTTCAAATATGCTAATAAGTAGTGAAGCCACTGGATTTCACATGCAGTTGAAGCCAAAGCCCTATATTCAGCTTCAGAAGAGGATTTTGACACTGTGGGTTGCTTATTGGTTCTCCATGAAATCAGAGCTTCCCCAAGATAAATGCAGTAGCCAGTGATGGATCTTCTAGTCTCTAAGCAGTTGGCCCAATCAGAATCAGAAAAACTTTGCAAATTGAGCTGATTGTTTGAGGGATAGAAATGTCCGTTCCCAGGAGACCCCTTTAAGTATCTTAGAACTCTGTGAGCAGCTGTCAAATGAATGTATGTGGGCTTATCAACAAACTGCCTCAATTTTTGAACAACATGTGAGATATCTAGCCTTGTATTGGCTAGGTATAGGAACTTACCAATTAACCTTCTGTATACCTCAGGATTTTCAATTAAAATCCCATCTGAACTGATGAGTTTTTGGCCTGTAATGGCAGGAGTCTTTGCAGGTTTGGCCTCCAAGAAGCCATTCTCTTTCAGGATCTCCAATGTGTATTTCCTTTGGCAGATGTTAATCCCAGTAGGATTTCTCAAAACTTCAATGCCTAGAAAATAATTCAGGTGACCAAGGTCCTTTATTTTGAAAGATCTGTCTAGAAACAACTTTAGTTCATTGATTTGAGATGGATCTGTCCCAGCCACCAAGATATCATCCACATATACGAGTAAAGCTGTGAATGAAGTCTTTGAAGTCTTGGTAAATAATGAAGGGTCTGCTATGGATTGATAGAAGCCAGTAGATTTTAGTGCAACTGTTAGTTTAGCATTCCATTGTATGCTGGCTTGCTTTAGGCCATACAAGGATCTTAGAAGTCTACACACTTACTTAAGATTGTCGCTCTGGAAACCAGGAGGCAAAACCATATAAACTTCCTCCTCTATGTCTCCATGTAAGAAAGCATTATTGATGTCCAACTGTTGAATATCCCAACCCTTTGCCACTGCCACAACTAGGAATGTCCTAATTGTTGTCATTCTGGCCACTGGTGAGAAGGTTTCAGTGTAATCAATCCCTAACTGCTGAGTGTATCCTTTGGCAACCAACCTAGCCTTATATCTTTCAATGGATCCATCTGCTCTATGTTTGACTTTGTATACCCATTTGCAGCCATTTGGACACTTTCCTGCTGGTAAATCAGTCAATGTCCAAGTGTTGTTGGCAACCAGGGTTTCTATCTCATTCTGCATAGCTTTCCTCCAAGGTTTATGTTGAACAGCTTCTTTGTAAGTTTGTGGCTCATGGATGGAGGATATGAATGAAGCACATTTCTTATGATTGGGAGATAAAGAATCATAAGAAATGACCTTGTTTAATGAGTGTGGGGATGTCATCTTGTTTACCTTATCCCTCATCATGAACTAACAGTAATAGTCTTGTAGTTTGCTAGGAAGAGTTCTTGTTCTCCCAGATCTTCTAGGCTGTAAATGATTTCCACTTTCCTCTTGAGGGGTCTCCTCCAAGACTGTCTCATCAGAGGCTTCAGTGGCCAAATTGATCTCCATGGGAATGTCTCTCTGCTCACTCTGCATAGGATCTGGTGTGGTATTAGGACTTGCATGATTGTCTGTAGTTCTGGAAAAAACAACATCTACACCAACTGAAACGGGAATTAAAGGTAGAGAAGGGTTGAATATGTCAATCTGAGGTGACTCATGCTTGGTGTCTGAATTGATTTCCTTGAAAGGATAAACTTCTTCATAGAAATGAACATCTCTGGAGATAAACATAGATTTGTCAACAATGTCATAAAGTATATATCCTTTGACATTTGCAGTAAAACCCAAAAAAAAAAACACATTTTCTGGCCCTAGGCATCAACTTATTTCTTCCTTGTGAGACAATGGCACCAAAGCATAAGCAACCAAAGGCCCTGAGCTGATCATAGCTTATTTCTTTTCCAAACAAAACCTCATAAGGATAACTTCCATTGTTTACGAGAGTGGGCAGCCTATTAATCAGGTATGAAGAATGCAAGACACATTGACTCCAAAATTCTAAAGGGAGGCCAGACTGGAACCTGAGAACCCTTGCTACATTCAGAACATGTTGGTGTTTTCTTTCTGCAACCCCATTTTGCTGAGGAGTGTATACACAGGATTTTTTATGCGCAATCCCTTTCTCATTAAAAAAAAGTACTCATAAAGAACTCACTACCATTGTCTGTTCTCACCACTTTAATTTTGGCTGAAAATTGTGTCTCAATATAACTGTAGAAATTCTAAAACAAAGTTTTAACTTTTGATTTGTGTCTCATCAAATGCAGCCAAGTAAATCTGCTGTGATCATCAACAATTTTCAAGAAGTAATGTTCCCCCTTTAAAGAAGCAACAGCAAAAGGGCCCCACACATCCATATGAACTAAATCAAAACACTTTTCAGCTTTAGATGTACTGATAGGAAAAACAGATCTCTTTTGCTTAGCATAATGACATACATCACAGGTAAAGTTAGTTACCTTATGAAACTGAGTATGTTTTATTCCATTCAAGAATTGAATCTTATTCATTGGATAATGCCCTAGTCTATTGTGCCACAACTGTAAGTTCACACTGTTACATTGACTATGTGGATTACTATCAAGCTGCTGAGCTTCTCTTTTTGTAGGGGGGATCTTTAAGCAAATAGAGTCCACCTTTTTCTTCAGCAAAACCACTAATTATCCCATATGGACCCTGAATATGATAGAGCTTAGCAGTCATAATAAGTTCACAGCTTCCTTATTCTATCAATTTGCTAGTGGATACAATGTTGAAGGTAAAAGATGGAATGTATAAAACATTCTTCAACAACAAATTAGAATGGAGCCTGATATCCCCTATATGAGTGACTTCCACTGATGATTTTCCATTAGGTAGCTGAACTGATATATCATGAGTTTTGTGATATCTTTCAAAATATTCTAAGGAGCATGTAATGTGGTCAGTTGCTCCTAAATCTAGGATCCAGACATTAGAACAATTCAGAATACAACTAACAAAGAGGTTAGAAATGGACCTACCTTCTTGGGATTCTTTTGGCAGATTCTTGAAGTCTGATTTTATTCCAGACTTGTTGATTGTCACAGCTGCACTAGTGGAGGCCTGGTGTCCTTGATTTTGATTCTGCAACAAGGATATCAATCTCTGGAACTGATCAGCAGAAAGTCCTATATCCCCAACCTGGTTTACTGAGCCACTTACTGTCTGTTGATTGTCCTGACCCTGCTTGTTTTTGCTCTTATAACCAGCTACCCAACCAGGGGGATATCCATGCTTTTTATAGCATTTATCTATAGTGTTGCCAAGCATATTACAGTAAGTACAATCCTTCCCCCATTGTTGTTAAATCTCTTCTTGTTGTATGAGGCTGACACGACCACAATGTTTTGATCATCTATGCTTTGAGTTGAACTATTCTGAACAGCATTGGACTGAATAATTTCATTGTTTCTATGGCTAACAGAACCATTAAGCTTTCTTTCCAATTTTAGAGCCATATTCAATACTTTCTTCATTGCAGGAATAGGATCCATAACTAACACACCTGATTTTATGGTTTCAAATTCATCATTCAGCCCTTCCAGAAATCTAATGACTTGATCATCCTCTCTATCCTTCTTTATTTTACTCATTAGACTACATGAGCATCTAGGTAAGCATTCACAAATAGGCATAGGCCTCATTGCATTTAATTGTTCCCATAGAGCATTGCATTTAGTGAAGTATTCATTGATAGTCATGTTACCTTGCATGTTCTTAAAGATTTCATTCTGAATTTCTGCAATTCTGTGTGGATCTGCTTGTGAGTACCTCTTCTTAAGAGCCTTCCAAATGTATTTCACAAATTCAAAATACAAAACACTCTCTGCTATCGTTGAATTCAGTGATTTCAGTATCCAAGAACAAAGTATATCATTACATCTCTTCCAGATAGCGTATTTGATGTCTCCTTCACCTGGATTTGGAATGTCTCCGTTCACAAATCCAAATTTGTTCTTTACTCCCAAAGCAATCTTCATGGATCTGCTCCACGAAGCATAATTGCACTCAGATAAAGGAGGTGAAACAAGGATTAGGTTTGGATTCTCCGTAATGTGGAGATATAGAGGATCGTCGAATTCGTCTGCTCGGTGAAATGAACTCCAATTGAAGAAACTTGGATTTGCAACAGTTTAATTGACCGGAGTTCCGGCATTCCCAGCTGATGTACCTTCGCCGTTTCCGGCATCCATAACCGCGGCGGTGGCGTAAGTGCGATGTCGCTCTGATACCATGTTGGAATGATGCATGCTTAATAACTACCAGCTGAACATTGTTCTAGTTGAGAAAAGAAGAAGAGAGTCATTGGCATTTCATTTGATAGTGCATCAATAGTTCTTACAATTGGGAAAGTAAAGAAGCTTAGAATATAAAGAGGATAGTGGCAGTTATAACAGAATCAAAGCAAAGGAAAGACAAGAATGCCCTTGGCATATATTGATAGTCCATCAGTCTCATCACCCTCGATTAGTGTTATTTAAGCACATGACATGACCGACCACTGCACTCACTATCTGGTTGCCACATGTTACTAAACAAGGAAAATTCGACATGTGTTTCTTGTTTGGAATACCTTATAAGTCTATCTTTATCCCTACAATACTCTTCACTTAAAAAATTAAATTCACTTAAAAAATTAAACGCACTTTACAGTACTACACTAAAATTAACTATTCAACAAAAATAAATAAATAAAAATAAAAAAGTACAAAAAGACTGCGGCATGCTTGCAACATATGAAAGCTTTCAATCCATGTCTCACTTTTTAAAAAATTAAAAAAAAAAATATCAATAGTTTTAAAATTTCTGTTAATTTGCCAACCTTAAACTTTGAGGGGGCGTTTGGTCAGGTTATATAACATAACCAAGGGAATGTGACATTCCAAAGTTCACATTCCGGTGTTTGGTTCATATTATCTTAGGAATCTAACATTCCCAAGGAATGTCATATTCCCTCCGCATAGGATTTTGAAGGGAATGTGATTCCCTTCAAAATCTTAGGTAATGTAAGATAACCTTGGTTATCTTAAGGATATTATAGTGTGTATAAAAGATAACCCTAAACCAAACATGATTATATTACATACCCCAATTTTAACCAAACACAGGAATCTAACATTCCCAGTAATCTAACAATCCCAGCAATCTAACATTCCCTAAGGTAATCTGACATTCCATGAACCAAACGACCCCTGAGGGATAAATTTAGCCTAAGCTTCATGAAGGGAGGCTTTGGATATCACCCATGAGCGTGATCTGTCGGCTCGGCAGTCTCTCTTTACACTACCAGCACGTTTGGTTCACGGAATGAATTTTGAGGTAATAGGAATGCTATTATATAAGAAATGGAATAGGCACGGAATAGAATAGGAATTGTATTCTATTGTTTGGTTCGCGGAAGGAATAGATTTAGGAATTATATTACAGTGTTTGGTTGATTTAAAGAATAGAAATGAAATATGTTTTAAAAGACATAAATACCCTTATAAAAATATGTGATGGTGGCGATGGTGGTGGCGGTGGTGGTGGTGGCGGCGGTGGTGGTGGCGGTGGTGGTGATGGTGGTGGTGGCGGCAGTGGTGGTGGTGGTGGCGGCAATGGTGGTGGCGGTGGCGGTGATGGTGGTGGTGGCGGCGGTGGTGGTGGTGCTGGGGTGGTAGTGGTGGTGGTGGCAGTGGTGGGGGCGACGGTGGTGGTGGTGACGATGACGGTTGTGGCAGTGGTGGTGGGGGCGGCGAAGGTTGTGGCGGTGGTGGTGGTGGTGGCGGTGGTGCTGCTAGGTGGTGGTGGCGGCGGCGGCGATGGTGGTGGCGGTGGTGGCGGTGGGGTGGTAGTGGTGGTGGTGGCGGTGGCAGTGGTGGGGGCGGCGGTGGTGATGGGGGCGGCGATGGTGATGGCGGTGGCAGTGGTGGGGCGGCGACGGTTGTGGCGATGGTGGTGGCGGTGGCGGTGGCGGCGGCGACGATGGTGGTGGTGGCGGCGACGACGATGGTGGTGGTGGTGGCGGTGATGGTGGTGGTGGCGGCGGTGGTGGTGTTGCTAGCGTGGTAGTGGTGGTGGTGGCAGTGGTGGGGGCGACGGTGGTGGTGGTGACGGTGACAGTTGTGGCAGTGGTGGTGGGGGCGGCGAAGGTTGTGGCGGTGGTGGTGGTGGTGGCGGTGGTGCTGCTGGGTGGTGGTTCTGGTGGTGGTTGCGGCGGGGCGATGGTGGTGGCAGTGGGGTGGTAGTGGTGGTAGTGGTGGTAGTGGTGGCGGTGGCAATGGTGGGGGCGGCGGTGGTGGTAGGGGCGGCGATGGTGATGGCGGTGGTGGCGGTGGGGTGGTAGTGGTGGTGGTGGCGGTGGCAGTGGTGGCGGCGGCGACGATGGTGGCGGTGGCGGCGGCGACGATGGTGGTGGTGGCGGCGGCGACGATGGTGGTGGTGGTGGCGGCGGTGATGGTGGTGGTGGCGACGACGATAGTGAAATAGGATAAATTTATATATAGGATAAAAAAATTAGGTTAAAGAAAGGGGTAAAAAAGTAAATAGATTCTAAAATCTATTCCTGAGCGTTCAATAATAGGCTAATACCAGGGGGGCCCTAGTAATACCTATTACCTTATTTGAGGTAATAGGCTATTACCAGGAATATTATTCCTGGTAATAGAAATGGTTACCAAATAAAGGAATAGGCCTATTACTGGGAATCCTATGCCATTCCCGGCCTATTCCGTGAACCAAACGGGTCATACATGTGGTCTGTCTTATTGGAACAAGTTCGAGTAATAACAATACTAAGTGGGGTTTTCCTACCAAAAAAAAAAAAAAAAAAAAACAAAAAAAAAATACTAATTGGGTTTGAATTTAGGTAGTATTAAATGGATGGGTATCCACTCTTCTATCCTTAAAATATAGAGATAACAATAACTTATTCTGCAATATAATTCAAATTTGAGCTTATTAATTGGTATTATATATAATTAGTTCAATAAATAATCTATGTTTATAATACATGTTAAAAAATTTATTAGGAGAAGGTTAATAATGAGTTATCTAAATTTGAACTCTATCATCCTTAACTTTTTTTTTTTAATTAAAATAGTTATATATTATTAAAAAAAAAAAAAGTTTTCAATTATAGTTTTCATATAATATAATTAAAGGTAGACACTAACGTGATCATCTTGTTATTGGATTGTGCTTTGGTTTGTATTTTGTGCTGTCTACATGATGTCTAAGTGAGTCGTGCATGTTGGAATCTTGGAATTGTTGGCATAGTGGAATCTCCAATCTCTTTTTATTTTATTTATATTTTTTAAAACCAAAAGAATTTTAGTCGCTACTTGAAGATATGTATGAGATAAACTTCAATTCGTTCATCTATAATAACGCACAAATCGTATATGAGAGATAAATCGTATTACAAATTATGTGTAAGAATTCGATTAAGAGGGTATTAGCATGAATTGAATTTGTGTCATTCTTGTACGAGAATATCCATTTTTTTGACATATACATACATGTACACTTCATTGTCTAATAATTGTTGTTCATCCAAAAATTTTGCAATTCTTTATAATGATCACTTTACAATATGTTTGTGTCCTTTATGTTAAAGAAAGAAAGAAAGAAACATACGAAATGTTATTGTTTAGAGTTTTTTTTTTTTTGGCCTTTTGCCCTTCTTTTGTTTTTGGATTCAATGATGAATATAAAACAAAATTTCATTACATGTAGATCATATGCATGTTATATCTACTAATGATTTCAATGAATTTAAAAGAACTTTAAATTCTTTTTATTAGTATGGTTTAGTGTCAAGTTTTGTGAATGAAGTAGCAAAAACAATTTCTCATCAACATGGGTTCCAATAATACTTAATTGACTCTAAATAAGTCGGAATTATTTGATTAAGATAAAATGACCATTTTCATTCTTGAATTACATGGAAATAGTAGTTTTTGTTCCTCAATTATATTACCGTTACTTTTCATTCTTCAACTGTCTGTAAGGTGACTTTTAAACCCATACTTGGGATGGAAAAAAATTACTTCCTAGACAATTGAATGATGAAAAGTGATAGTGTGAATAATTGAGAAATGAAATGATGATGACGAACTTTTTAGACAACCCTAAATCTCAACTAGTTAAGAGGACTTTTGGTCAAAAAGATGTATGGTTGCCTAAATGATTTTCTTTTTAAGCACAATTGAGGTATGACACATGCTGCACTATTTTGGTTGAATCATTAGAATGATGAGATGAGATGAGATGGTGAGTGTGACAATTGACATTAGGAATGCCACTGCTGGTTAGTTGTTTCCAATACCCATACAGGGTTTAATTTTACTACCACCAAAAAAAAAAAAAAAAAACCATATTTCTTGTCTAAATAATACAATTTATAACTTCAATTAGCTTTCATTAATTCTTTAAAGTTTTTATCCAAATAATTAAAACCGAATTGAATAATATAAAGTTTACCAAAAATATATATCCATACATAACAAGTTTGATAGAAAGTTTAAAAACATCCACGCATACATACATATAATGAGACAATGAATTAATACTCGAGTCTAAACTTCTAGTTATGACCACAAGTTAGTTTTGGGTCAATTTTGGTCCAAACCTAACAATTTATAAATAAGAACTGGCTAGTTATGAGAGTTAGTTTGAGTCTAGTCTGATAGTTCCAAACTGAAATCCTAGTATTCTTTTGTTTTATTATTATTTAGTTTTTAATTATTATTTTTTTCCCTCTAGCTAGTTTTTAAACTAGAAAACAACATTTTCATTTCTATGGTTATAGGGACTTGGTTTATGTCCTAATTCTTAACCAAAACCAAAATAATCTGTATGGTAGTTTATATGATAACCTAAATATATTATTATATTTTATAGATTCAATTGTTCAGGGGAAAATGGCACTTTTTCCCCCTAAGTTATATACTTATATCATTTTTTCCCCCTCAATTATTTATGTAAGCACATTAGCCCCCTCAATTATTTTAAAAGTGGTGGTTTTTCCCCTTGATATATTAAATTGACATTTCTACCCTTAAAGTAAACATTTTATTTATTTTACTTCTCCAACAAATTATTGTGTATATGTAGTGATGACCACGGTTTGGTTCGAACTGAACCGGACACTATAGTAATCGAATTAAAAGTTTTCGGTTATGATTCAGATCTAAAACTCAATATTTGGATTTCTATTTATTAAATTTATGAATTAAAAAAACTGGACCTTGAA